TGGGCCTAACCTATCTATAGACTCTCTAGACCTAGACCGGACTGACTGACCGACCGGTACCGTTGCTGTTTCGGTCTCTCGGCCTCTACCGGACCGGACTATAGGCTATAGGACCGTCTAGCAGCCTAGGCCGCTTAGGGCCTATCTGTCCTAGGGGTAGCTTGGGCCTGCTATAGGTAGTTAGGGTAGCTGTAGGAATTCGGGTTAGTGTTGGGCCTATATTTTCCCAGATTTGCAGATCTGTCCCTCACGAATATCCTTACAGGCAGGTCTTTCGGTTAGCCCTCAGCCAAACAAAATTACAAATCTAACCCTACCGGTTAGTGTACAGCCTTGCAGTCAATCTCGGCGGTCGAAATCAGCAAGTCATTGCAGGCTTACCCTCCCCGGGAGCGAGGACCTCCGAACCAGGGATGCAGGCGAGGTGAACGGCGAGGAAGGTTGCCCTTCTGAGCCGCTTCATATCGCAACACAATGGACTTTGCTGTCTTGATCAGGTCTCTTCTGTAGAACCATCGGCTCTTAGAAGGAGGCTGAAAAGCAAACCTGACAAGATACTGTCGATCTGGGCCTGTGCCCCACTCATCCTCAATCCGGTCAATGTCATATCCCTTACCAGGGATTGGCGGACCAAACTGAGGGGGCCAGTCTGGGAATGCATCAGTTGGGGTGAAAGGCAGCAGCTTGGATGCATGGAAGACCGGGTAGGTGCGTAGATGCAGCGGGACGTCGATAACGTAGGACGGACCGAAGGGATCAACCCCCACTATATCTAGGACCTGCCATGGACCCAGGTAACGTGGCAACAACTTGGGGGAGATATCCTCCTCCCTCGACAGCTCAGAACTGGCCACCCAGACATGATCACCAGTGCGGATGGGGGAAGGTCGCCTGTGGCGATTAGCTTGTTCAATCATAGCCTTTTGGGCTGTGAACAAGTTCGCGTGGGCCCTTTCCACATCTAGACGATAACGTCTGGTGAACTCTGTTGTGCCTGGTGTCAGATCAGGCTTAGCCTTATCGATGATGTCATCGAGAGGCTGTCGTGGTTCACGTCCCCAATGTAACCGGTAGGGACTGAACCCTGTCGAGGAGTGGACAGACATGTTTTACATGAGTTGTGCCCTCGCTAAATGAAGATCCCAGTCCTGTTGATCTGGAGAGATGACAGGACGCAGCAGCTGGAATAAGACTTGGTTCATCACCTCAACCAAACCATTGGCTTCAGGATGACGACCAAAAGTCATGTCCAGTCGTGAGTGCAAATAGTCCTTGCAGTAGGGACCGCCACTCCTCGCTGCAAAATCTGGGGTCTCGATCACTGACAATAGAAGTGGGCGGTCCATGGTGTGTGACCCACCTCTTAGAGAAGGATGCTCTCACAGCCGGTACCCTAGCTACCTCTGGCAAGGGGATGAACTCTGCGTACTTGGAGAACCTGTCCATGCAGACCATAACCTGACGCATGCCACGAGGGGTGGTCTTGCCTAAATCTGTGATGTCTATCGACACAGATTCAGCAGGGCCATCAGGTGTGGGAAGGGGTTTGAGCAGTCCCAAAGGAGGTTTACGCTGAACTTGTTTCTTTGGCAAAGCTCACAGGTGTCCACATAATGCAGCATCTCACTCCGCATCTCCTTCCAGAAGAAGTGCTGCGACAGGGCTGCATAAGACTTTAGGAACCCGAAATGTCCATGGGCATCGTGACACTCTGACATCAGCAGTGTCCTGAGCCGCTGGTCCTGAGGAATGCACAAGCGCTCCTCACCTCTGCTGCAAGTATACAGCAGGTCTGAACTCAGAGCATAGCCTGGTTCAGAGTTAGAATCTGCTTGCAGATTCCTGACAATGGGTCCAAAAGTCTCGTCCTGAGGCAGTAGACGAGCAATGGTATGACGGGTCTCCTCTCCAAAGGAGTGAGTAGAGGAGATCAGCGCAAAAGAGTCAGGCCTACGAGAGAGGGCATCTGCTACCTTGTTGTAGCAGCCCTTCTTAGGCTTTAGTTCAAAGTCAAACATGCCAATGAACTGAATGTACCGTGCCAACTTATCATTCAACTCTCCCTGGGACTTCGTCCACTGTAAGGTGGAATGATCTGAAAAGATCTTGAAGTGCCTGCCCAGGAGAAAGTGTTTCCAGTGTTTCAGGGCACAGACAAGAGCATATAGCTCTTTCTCGTAGGTGGAGTCCTGGAGCTTTTGAGTCTTGATCTTCTTACTCATAAACTCTACAGGCCGTAGACCATTCCCATCATCCTGCTGAAGAACTTCCCCAATGCCATACTGACTGGCGTCAGTGGTCAGGATGAATGGCAAGGTGGGGTCAGGTAACTTCAGAATAGGCGCACGAGTCAAGGCCTTCTTGAGTCGTGTGAAGGCCAACTGACAGTGGAGGGACCAAAGAAAGGGAGTGTCCTTCTTTGTTAAGTTAGTCAGGGGTGCAGCCACTGCAGAAAAGTTCCTGACAAACTTTCTGTAGTAGGAGGCCAAACCCATGAAGGACCGAACATCCCTCACCGTCTGAGGCTGAGGCCACTCCTGAATAGCAGCAATCTTGGCTGCTTCAGGAGCCAGGCCATCTCCAGAGATTACATGACCCAGATAGATAACAGAGGGAACTCCAAAAGAGGACTTCTCTCTGTTGATCTTATACTGGCTGTCACGTAACGACTGAAGGACTAGAGCCAAGTGCTCCGCATGTTCCCTGGCAGTTTTGCTGAATACCAGGATGTCATCCAGGTAGACAACCATAAACTTGTCCAGGTAAGGCCTGAAGATGCGGTGCATCTCAGTCTGGAAGGTGCCTGGGGCGTTGCAAAGTCCAAATGGCATGACCGGGAACTCGTAAGTCCCATACCTGGTCTTGAAGGCTGTCTTGTAGACATCCTCCTCTACCATCTCAATCTGGTGGTAGCCAGATTTGAGGTCGACTTTGCTGAACACTGTGCAGCCCTGCACCATATCCAGGAGGTCATCGATCCTAGGAAGTGGCTCAGTGCTCTTCCTAGTGATCTTGTTGAGACCCCTGTAGTCAATGCACATTCTGAACTCGCCGTTCCCTTTGGGTACAAAGAGAACCGGTGCACCGAATTCAGATGTACTGGGTCTGATCCAGCCTTTGCTGGTCAGGGTCTCAAGCTGCTTTCTGAGCTCCTCAAGCTCAGCAGGGGACATCCTGTAGATGTGGCCCTTGGGAGGGACCGCTCCAGGCAGCAGCTCGATGTGATGCTCGGTTGGCCGGTTGGGTAACCCAAAGGGCTCCTGCATCAGATGAGCATACTGATCTACCACCTGCTGTATCTCAGGAGGACAGGAAACAGGGGGAGCATCTGTTTGCTTGACCAGAGCAATAACAGACGCTCATGGTGGTACTGGCGAGAGAGAGCATGAAACTCCCTCGCTCTCAGGCAGTAGCAAGAGGTCTTAGGGTGATGATCATCAACAATCATGCATGGCTGATAAACACCCTGGCTGTCCGGTAGTTCAACTCTAGGGATCTGCCAGTCGATCCTAGGGTTGACTGCCCTCAACCACTACATGGAGAACACCAAATCAAAGGGGAGCTCAGGGAAGATATAAAAGTTCAGACTGTGTCTGACTTTTCCTGCAGTATCGAAGGTCACAGGGATACCCTTGACCTTCTCCCTGATGTTGAGTACTGTAGAGCCACCAATCCGCACCAGCAGCGGTTGCTGCAACTGCTGAACTTTCATGCCCAGGTGCAACTTTTTAACTGCACTGGGAGACATGAAGTTCCTGGTGGCCCCACAGTCCAACAGCCTGGTGATCCTGGTGCTGTTGATCAGTGGCCGGAGCATTGATGAGATGAGTCTTGCATTTCTTCGGTTCTTTCATATGAAAGAAGAAGGCAGCAAGGGACTGGAGCTCATCCGGCCCCGGGTCCTGATCCGGGTCAGGATCCTCATAGCAGAAGGATGCTGCCCGCGCAGTCCCCATACACATATCATCAGCACATGCAGTCTCAACTGAAACAGCTGCAGATTCACCTACCTAAGTAGATGAAGGTGCAGCACTGGGGGGAACTGCAGTCCCCAAGGTTTGTTTCAGTTTTTTGACTGACTACCTGGGCCTGGCATGTAAGGGCAGTCCTTTAAAAAGTGTTTGTCCCTCACACCTCAGGCAAACCCCTCTCTCCTTTCTTCTTCTCCAGACTCCCTCCTGGATCTTGAGGTCATGCCAGGGGAGTGTGGAGGGATTGAGAGGTTCAGCTGGCATGCGGACGTCTCTGGGCAGGTTAGGGCGCTGGGAAGAGGAAGGCCGACGTCCCTTTTCCTTCCCCTTGGTACTGGCTGAGGCTGTGGTGGGAGATAACTTTTTCGGCAGCTGCAGGGCTCCCAAAACAGCCTGAGTCACGGCTGCTGCAACATCTGTCTCAACAGCAGATCCAGTCCCAGCTGAAGGTGTATCAGCCTGGGAATCTGAGTCTGATCTTGAGGCAGACCCTGCATGAGTGAAGGCTGCCTTTCCCTTTCTACCACCTTGAGGAAGGCACCTTTCCTCCTGTCAGAGGATGGGGCCTGGACATGGATCTTAGCCTCCATTTCCAGGGCTGCAAGGCCAAAGGACCTTCAGTCCTTGTGCCCAGCGCTGTAAAGAGCAACAATAAACTTCTCAGGCGCTGCCCTGTAGAAGTTGGTCAGCAAATCATCAGGGCTCATGACCAACCCAGGGGTGGAGGTGAGTTGCTCAAACTCAGCAAACAAGGCCTGCAAAGTCCCGCTGTACCGCTGCTGTCCCAGGCGAGCAATCCTGTCAGCGGCCTTGCGGGCCCGCTCCTTGTCAGCAAAACGGTCCTCCAGGGCCTGCAGAAGTCTATTCACCCCCAGCCCGAAAGCCCAGTCCTCCATGTACTGCTGCAGGCTGCTGGAAGTTGAGGTGGCCCACTTCAGTGCGGGTCCCTCCAGCAGTCCCAGAACAGTCGCCACCTCGGTCTGTTCTGCACAGACGAAGCCCCTCAAGTAGGCTCAGGTCCCAACAGCCCAGTCCCCAACATCGGTCTTGGGGTCATCACCCCTAAACTTGTTGGGAGCAAGGATCTTGGGACATCTCTGGTCTCCTGCAGTCATAGCAGCATAGGTGGCCTTGGCTCAGGCCTTTTGGGAAGGGGTGGATGACCGGGAAGAATGTACAGAGCCAGCATGAGATAGATGTGGAGAGGAAGGGGGTGAAGAATGAGGAGAAGATTTGGGCTGCAGCAGAGGGGGCTGAGGAGTGATCAGCTTGGCGGCTGCCAGCTGAGCAGTCAAGCCCTGAATAGACTTCAGGATCTTGGTCTGCTGAGCTGACAGCTCGTCAACCCGACGCTCCAGCCGCACAAAACGATCATCCCAGTTTGTRAACTGGGAGCTGGTGATCTTGTGCTCCAACAGGATCATCTCTGCCATGTGCTTGGTGATCTGGGAGCAACGATCATCAATGAGCGACCCTTCTAGCTGCTGCAACAGATATTCTCTTATGGAATGATCAGTTGCAGCCTCTAGCTCAGCAGCCTCCTGCTGTGCTACTTCTGCCAGTCTGGCCTGTTGCTGCCGCAGTTGTTCTTCTAACTCCTTCAACCGCTGAGTAGCAGTCAAAGGTGGAGAAGGGGGAGTGGAGGCTGAAGGCTGTTCGCCTTCTACCTTCATCACCACTTCCACCTGTGGCTGCTGCTGTGCCCCCTGCTCAGGCATTTTCCCAGTTCAAAACAAAACCAAAATAAAATAAACAGCAGCCTGAGCAGCAACGCTAAACAAATTCCTGCAGATACACTGGAATCGCTGCAACACTCAAACACTGGAGTAGGTGGGTGAATAGGCAATCAGCGGGTTGGGTTAGAAGGGCGTCTCTGGGGTCAGGTGTCAGACAGACTGTAAGTCCAGCAAAATCAGTCACACGATTTCCTTTTACTGACCCTTAGCCACACTGGAGTTAACAAAGTCACTCCACTACTTTTCCAGAGACCCACTAGAATTCCAAAGCCCAGTAGAAAACAAGTGTCATCAGTGGGAATGGTCGAAAATGGTTAGTACAGATAAAAGAGGTCAATCACAACAAGCGATGCAGACAATTATCCTGTAACCTGACTCAAATTCAATTTTAGACCCTGATGACTCTGGCGGCCATACCCTAGGGTATGGCGAAGTACATTTTTCACTGTATCCAGTGAAATACTGCAAATCCAACTCTGCGATTGTACAATATTGTCTACTTTTGGATTGCGATTCACTGGGGACTGACAGAACTGAATTCTGACGGACGGAATTGAAGTTATGACTGACCCTAGGTAGCACAGGCTAAAAATAGACTCAACGCAAAACAACAATTCACAGTATCACTACCTTTCCAGTACAGAATTCACTGAGCATCCCAGATCAATCGCAATGCAGTATAGCAGTCACAAAACCAATTTGGACCAGAAAGAGTCACCAGAGGGAGAGAAATGAGCAGAGAGAGGTAGGGGAGAGATGGCTATGGCTGTCTTGCAGTCTGCGATTTTCACATCCAGTCACTGACAGACAGATAGACCATTACAGTTCACTAAACTAACCCTATCTGGATCGCAATACAGGTAGGTGCATGGAACAGACTCACTTTCTGAGAATCTTGCAGGTGATGATGAAGATCTGGCTATGGCTGATGATACCCTTACCTCGCCAATTCCTCCCAGATATTCCTCCTGATGATCCCACGCACAAAACCTCCTCAAATTTGTTGATTCTCCTCAGGATCCTGTAGCGCTGCACTCCCTCAACTCAGATACCCTGTATCTGGTCCTGTGGCGCCCAATATGCCAACTTCGAAATATCTCGCCACAGTGCCTAGTAGCCACTGATGCTAAGAATAGCCCCAGATGGGGTTATTTCTTCAGGAGATTGACACAGATTGTCAATCTCTATCAGCGCTACCCAGGGATGACGCCGCTCAGGGTTCCCTGATGTCCTCAGGGGTAATTCGCCACTCTGGGGTAATTCGTAGTACTACCCTCAGGGTTGGCTATGGCGAATTAGCCCTGTACTCGCCACTTCCTGACAAGCGCTCTGACAGGCTCAGTGCGCTTGCTCAGTACCGCCACTGAACACTTGAATCCACCGCTGAAAGTCTTCTTCCCTGTTGACTCAGTACTGGGGAAGATGAATCGCCATGAAACTCTCGCCAGTAGATTGCCAGATGAAGAAGATGCCTCAGTGCGCTCAACCCTCAGTGCTCCAAATCCAATCTTGCTCCGATACCAACTGTTATGAACTTGGTTGTCTGACGAATTTTGTCGCCACTCACACACAGACAATCTCACACATGCCCATACATGCGTAAGAGAAGGGGAGAGAGGAGACCGAGTCCACACTGCACACAGATGAAAATAAGCAGCGGAAGAGGATCATGCACAGGTGGGGAGAAAACACAGAGTGTTTCTCACTCTCTGACACACT